GTTTGAAGACTTGAGACGAATCGAGACAACTGTAACTGAGTTTGTTTATATTGTGGCAACTTGGCAGTGTCCCCATGGACGTTCAGATGACTATCACTGGATTACTGTGATACTGAAGAAAAATTGTGATTCTAAGCGGTTTCATGGACAATTATTTGTAATGTATACCAGCAATAGTGACATCCGTGGAAAGTATAAGTCACGCTTAATCCAAAAAAATGTGTGTATCATGTCTGTGTGTACAGATTTGACTGAGTCATGACTCATGACGTGTGATGCGGTTACAGCACCTTGTACTGCCTCCATGAACTGTCTGTCAAAGTCACTGCTGCTGCCGTTGACCGTGTTGATGAACAAGCCAAATGACAACAACTAACTGACATATCGACCTGTCTATTTCATCTCCACCGGTCTTTTTGCTTCTTGTCTCTGCGCCCCACCTTCAACTCTCCTGTGCCCCCCTGGGGAGGCCTGCCCCACAGTTTGAAAACCTATGATCAAGGGTTCAGAATAGCAAGGAAATCCTTGTATTGGATGTTGTTGTCAATGCCAGCGCTAATTATTACTTTCAAACTGCAATTGCCTGTTTTCTAAATGGTAAAGATGTGACATTCAGCAGCAGAAAACCTTAGGATGATCATGTCCCAGAAGTCACGTTCCAGGTCCTGGAAACTAAAGATGAGTGCGTGCAGCTCAGTCTGATTTCAGGGAGAATTTTACTCTATGTTTGGATTGGTTTCTTCCAGTGTGAAGGTTCATCTTTAAGGTCCCGTATTTTACATTTTTAATGTGTTTTATTTGAAGTGTTGATCCATGGAGGATATATTTGTGGTTTTAAGAACTGAAAACCATCTCAATGTAGTTTTATATCTCCTCTCTCAGGCTTCTCTCTGGCGCTCTAGTAACAACAGGTCGGTGAGCCAATCAGAAGAGAAGAGGCTCTGAGCCTCTCTTCTGATTGGCTGACTGTTTTCTGAGTGATATATAAAAATAAAGCAGATCTCAGGTAAACACTCAGAGAAAGCAAATCCTGCAAGGTTGGATGTAGGGTCCAGGTCGGCGGGGCTTAAGAGCAGTGACTGCTTTGTTGTGACATCACAAAGTTCCAGAAGTCCTGACAGCTGGTTTTCAGGCTCAGTTCCTGAATACAGGCTGTGTGCATTTCTCTGTGGACTGAGGCTTTGATACTTTCACAGTATTAATATAGAACCTAGACCTGCTTTATAATCAAAAAGATATGGACATCTACCTTTATACAATATGGGACCTTTAATATGAACCAAGAGCATGACTCCACTTCAAGGTCAACCCTGAAAATGTGGACTGATGGAGATTAACATCCACTTTCATCAGAATCACTTCAGTGTGAAGCAGAGTATTTCAGTCTGTGTAAGTGGTAGACGTCCTGCTCTGACTGAGAAGATCTGGTGCTGATTACAGAACATCTGTAAACCAAAACACTTTAAGGCTGTCAGACATCCCCATCTGCTGGTCACAGCCCTTCACTTCTACACACAAACAACAAGGCATGAAGAGAACTGACAAGCGTTTCTCTGTGCAGCTTTGACTGAACTACAGTGCCACTGTGTGGACAAAAATGGAACTGTCTGAGTTACAACTCAAATCCAAACCAATTTAATCTCATCTAAAAATATATTTTTTAAATACAAATGTATATATAAATGTTAAACTAAGTTTTTCTTGGTTTTATATACAATGGACATTAAAATATGAGATTCTCTGGATTTCCACCCACACCAGTTTGCATCTGTGCCACAGACCCAAAAAGGTTGACCGAAGATTTTTGCTCTGTACAAACATTCACTGCAGAACAAACATAAACTCTATCTCACATTCAGATCCCATTTTTCCTAAGAAACTAAACAACTGAAAGTGAAATGATCCATCAGTGGTGTGATATAAACTCAGCTGTTTCCACAGATATGTCCACACAGTCTTTCAGGAATCAATCATTTCTACATTTGTCACTTGCTTTGCATCCAGAAAGGTTTTCAAAACAGGCACATCTTTACCCTCCCTCCAGACATGTTTTAAGACATTTAAAAATACTCTTCTTTGAATAGTGATAGTAAGGTTTACATGTTAAGTCATACCGTATATTTGAGTTAATTTACTAAGACTATATCAACAGTGTCTATACAGTTAACCATTTAAAAATTTATGTTTACAATTTTACATTTTTGTATTTTTTTTTAAATAAAATTGGTTAATTTAGTGACATGGGACTTAGAGACAGGAAGTGTGGTGTGGAGAAAAGTAAACGTGCTGCTTTAAAAGTTAATCTGTCTTTGACTTTGATGTTTATTACATTCTAGCCGCTGTTTTGCAGTTGCCAGGTCTACCGTTCTTGTTCAGTAGTGGACTGATTGCAAAGATTTTTGTCCCCATTAATCATTTACACTAAAAGAACATGGGCATATGAGGTTGTTATCCTTCAAGGTGAGCACTGAGACACTTTCACCCTTCAGATGAACGTGAGAACAGATTTCTAGTGTCAAGCTCTGCTCACCGAAGCTCCAGATACAATTTAATGTAATCCAATACAACAGCAACACAAACTATGACCTCAAAAAGGTGCTGATTCAATTTTGCGGTAATGTTAAGTCACGGTCTGAACAAAAACAAAACAAACAGTCCACAAAGGTGGGATTGATTTGAGGGACTTACACTAGATTGCATTACGTTGTGCAGGTGATGCTGTTGATACACAAACAAAAATTACTTTCCCTCTAGTTCATTCGCAAAAAGCAACCGACCACCTGTCAAAGCCTCCATTATCCTCTCATAATGTGAGTAACCAACTTTGTTTAGGTGAATAACAACCCCTGCTGTTCTCTCTAGGTAGGGGACGGTCCCTCAGAGAGAGAGAGCCTCAGAGGCTGGATGGTCCCCCGACGACTCACATCACAAACACCAGGACGTGAAGCCGAACAGGCCTGTTTGGGATTTCGGCCAACCAGCTTAAAGAAAAGAAGCTGCAAGCCGTTTCAGAAAACTGAGAGCAATTTTGGTGCTTTTGACACGGCCGTCAGCGGGGCGCTTTAATTTAGAGATCATTTTTAGACCTCAGCGTGATCTCCCCACAGAGCCTCAGATACAGATGCTTCGGTACATAATGATCCCAGCTAATTCTGTGGATAAATTCAAAAGGGCTGGAAAGAGCCAATAACAGCTTCACTGAGGTCCATTTACCAGCAAATGTCAGGCAACAGAATAACAGTTCATGAAACGGAAGAGTGGTTTATTGACTCAAAAAGACGAACATGATAAACTGGGCGCTGCATGTCTCGACTGCAGCTCTGGAAATCAATTCGGCTGCAGCAGAAGGCAGCTGATATCAGCTTCTACCATGTTGGTTATGTGCTGTGGGTGACAGATGAACTCATCTCTTCTCATTAAAGTTCATTTATTTTGATGTCATCTCCAAAGTAAAGGACCTTCCTCTTACCTTGTTACCATGACAATTTTTATTCCAGCACAGAGAGCTGTGGTATAAGCCCGCTAAAGTCAAGGACATACGAGTCTGTGATTAAAAAAAACAAAAAAAAACAGGGTGGCTCACTCCTTTCAAAACTGAACCTGAAGAATGTTTTTGATTTAACTGGAGCTAAAAAAAGCAGAAACTTAAGCCACAAAAGAACTTTTCACACCGCGGGCACACATTTTTTTTTTTTTTTTTTTTACAAATTTCACTGGCTAGCTAGCGTACTGACTTGTAGTGTTAAAAGCATAACTTCAAAGTTTTTGCTTGCTTTCTTGGTGAGAATCAGATGAGAAGATTGTAGGCTATATGTCTATATATGGAGCTGGAGCCAGGAGACGGTTAGCCTAACTAGCCAGGAGACGGTTAGCCTAGCTGAGGATAAAGACTGGAAACCGGGGAAATCAGCTAAACTGGCTCCGTCAGGAGCTAAAGGGGAGTTACGTGCTGTAACTACAGTGTTTCTTGATAAATAAAAGTTTATCCTTCTGCCTGGCACTTTTGTTTAGGTGAATGCAGCGTCTCCAAAACGTAACTCTCCGCAAATCATAAATTGTCCTTTTTTTACATTTCTATTTGTGTATGAATTAAATGAACACAATTTAACATCTGTGTTAATGATATTTAAAAGTGTTGGTAGGCATATTTTTTTAACTTTAGACTGAGCCAGAGTAGCTGCCCCCCCGATTCTTTACACTAAGCTAAGCTAACAATTATCTTGGCTTTATCTCCGTACTTAATACACAGACATGAAAACGTTTTCCATCTTTTCATCTAACTCTCAGCTAAAAAGTAAATACTTGTATTTCCAAAAATGTAAAACCAATATTTTAATGACATGAAAACAACATATTAGTTAGATACATAGAGTAAGTATAAGTATATTGCATATCTTTTCTCTCCAACTTTACCTCATTTCTGTCCAGCTTTTCTTTGGCTTTTCTGTTGTTATATTGCTGTTATTGTTGTTGTGAACTCCATTTTTTAAGGTGCTATATAAATAATTATTATCATCATTATATTGCATGTATATATAGATGTCATTTCCTTCTTTAATAGCTATCATCTAAAGAAAGCCTTGAGATAAAGTGTTTTATAGAAGTAAAAGGTCGCACTGTCATCTTTTATTTTCTAGATACTAGACTGCTTCCTGTAGCAGAACCGCAGAGACATTACTTCCAGTCAGTAAAGATGAGGAGTGAGCTAAGACGCTGACTGGTTTTTGTGATCCATTGTGGAAATTTTCAAGGGAGCTAAACTTTAAATGAACTGGAACAAATCTGGCACCGGGACCCTCAAAAACAAATAACTCACAGTTCAGTTCTTCATGTGTTGAACGAGGAACTGGTGTGAAACAAACCCTCCGTCATTCAGCTCACGGAAGTCTTTTAAAAACAACAGTGGTTTTATTTCTTGACCTGAGCAGCAGAGTTCAGAAAAAACATGCAGCTCCACTACCCTCCCACACACATGCTAACACCATGAAACTTCCACTCACCAGTCTGTGTGCTGATCATCAATCACCAGCAGGATCTTGGGCTTGCGTATGACAGGCTTGGCTGGCTGACTGCTTCCTGCAGAGGCACCTTCAGCTGATGCAGCTGCTGCTTTAGCGTGTGCAGCGGCGGCGACGTTCTGGGCCATCTGAGCGCTCTTCACCACACTGGAGAAGGAGCTGAGGAAGCTCCCTGTGCCTAAAGCTGGGCCTGAGGCTGGGGCTGACACTGAGCCTGAGCCTGAGCCTGAGCCTGAGCCTGAGCCAGAGCCCGAGCCAGAGCCAGAGCCCGAGCCCGAGCCCGAGCCTGAGACTGTGCCCTGGGTCTGGCTTGGGACGCTCGCAGGGTTCCGCCTCTCTGTAGCCGGGGAGGCGGGAGAGGAAGTGGACGAACCTGGAGGGGTCGGCCTCTGCAGATCCATCATGTAGCCGTTGGGGAGGTTGGCCACAAAGCTGCTGTCTGATAGGCGGCGGCGAAGGTAGTTCATGGTGATGGGCTGGTGGGTCTGTCAGGCCAGAGGAGGTGAGGGGGAAGAACGCCTGAAATTCTGCACAGAAGACAAAGGAAATGAGAACGGACCTGTTCAAAATCACTTCACATCTGATTATTTATCCCAGATAATTAATAAAATTGTCATATTAAAGCTGCACTAATCAATATTTTTATATTACCAATGATTAAAAGACTACATGAAATGTAAAAAGGTGTCACCCGCAGAGAATTATCCCTCAGCTCCGCAGTTCCTCTTTTAGCGTCTGCAGGATTTTCCTTTTGGCATCCACTTTAATATTTTAATTCAATTTCACAAGTGACCCTGTTTCCAGCTGTTTTAAGCAAAAACAAAAAGGTTCTCATGAACCCATATCAAACAGACAACGTTAGCAGCACAGAGTTGAACATTCACTGTAGCAGAGAGACAGATATTTTCCTCAGGAGTCATCAAAATATAACTGAAATCACAATGTGGCTAACTGCAATATCCAAATCGCAGGAGCTGCTATATTTTTGATAAAGGTAAAATGTGTCATTGTTGTACATTGTTAGAACCATAAGAGTTGTGGTGCCATAGAGACGCTCCGCCCTACAAATCATATTCTCCAGACGTAAGGAAACATGCTTGTTTGGTACAAACCCCAACAAAAATTACATCATCCTCATGTAAAACAAAAAAATACAGTGAAAATGAAATGCATAATTCCAACTGAAATCGTGACTCATTTCGCAATCACAATATCTGCCAAAATAATCACAATATGATTTTTTTTTGCACATCATTCAGCCTTGATGGAAACTAAAACAGAGCTAAACAGAGAGTGAAAAAATGAACTAATTTGTTAGGTGGACAAAAACTGGACTCCAAGTAAATACTAATATTGCTTTTTATTTACTGTATCTGTAAAAAGGCAGCTGTGTGTTGAACTTTATAAGATGATAATAAGTCAGTGCTGTGGTCACACCTTTTTGCACTGCCCCCAAGTGGCAAAAAAAAAAAAAAAAAAAATCAATGAATGCAGGAAAAGTAACACTGAAAGGCTCTATCTTAACAGTCAGTCTAAAACACATGGCGCAAATGCATTTAGGGCGCATCCATATCCATGTCAAAAAATGGTCGCTGCACCAGGTGCATGGTTAGAAAAGAGTTGTACTTAGTCTCTTTACGTCACATGCAATAGACCAATCAGAGTGCCATCTACCATTCCCTATAAAAGCCAGCTGCACTTGCACCTTAGTGGATTACTCTTATAACAACACAGATTAGCGAGCCCAGTCCTGATGCACACAGCAACATCAAGGAAGAGTGAATCAATGTGCTGCTCACAGCTCCACAAAGACGCAACGACACAAATCACAATGCTAGACATCTTTATATTATAGTGATGACAAGTGTAAATACATATTTTGGTTTATCATGATACTATGGTGGGGAAAATTCAAGATAACAATCCACCTGACCACACCTCATTTTAAGACTAACACACCCATGGGCGCACAGATGGGCGCAAGTGTTAAAACAGTGCGGGTGCAGGACGGGAAGATGACGACTGTGTTGGCCTGAAACCAGCACCAAAATGTTTATTTGTGGATTTGAGACCATTCCTACAATTAGAAAATTTAATGGAAAAATAATCACAATAACTCGGGACAATTCCAGTTTGAGTGTTCAACAAGCTACAGTATATGTAGTTAAAGTTGTTAAAAATGTGACGCTTCTCCACTTCCTGATGTTCACACTACTTCAGATCTGAGGTGAAAAGAGTGAGACCTGGAAAACATTCAGCTGCCAGTGCTAAAAAAAAAGAAGCTGATATACTGTTAAAGTGAACGGGTGCACTCTGGAGGTTTTTATACCAGCCATGAATCTGCTAAAAGCTGATTTGCATAAGATTAAGTTACCCAGTCAGGGTGGGACAAAAACTGCTGCCAAACAATTTAGTGACACAGCAGTGATGATGCAAAGTTGGAGGAGTGCTTCACAGCTCTTTTCTTTGTAAAGCAGATAGAGCCCGCTGGGACAAACAGCTCCCATGCTACAACGCAGCATGGCAGAGAAAAGACATTCAAACAGATTAGCTATCAAAGATGCTAGTAGAGGGGAGAAGAAACCCTTAAACCTGATTAAAACTAGGCCGCTCTCATAGTAAATGGAGCTTGGATGAGATGAAAGTGCATTTCTTATTGAAGCGTCACATCTCAGGCGGATGTGCCCGGTGTTTGCGGTGATGTTTTTGTAGTTAAAGGGGGAGGAGGGTCTAATAAGCCTGCAGCAGGGGGGAAAAGGATGTGGGGTGAATGTTTCATCTTGACAAGTTAACGCAGTCAGACAATCACCATCAGGAAGTCTTTGTACGAAGAGATCTGTAGCTGAGATCTGACCTGAGCAGTAGTCAGTAGCAGTGCTGATCATAGCTGTTCTAGCAGGAGTGTAAGTACATTTCTTTGTCCAATACTGAACCGATTCTCAAAAAGGGGAATTCTCCTTCCTCTTGTCTTCCTCCAGAGAGAAGTCAGAGGTCTGTACCTACATGACAGAGGCGATGGAGCAGGACTGAGTTCTCTAGTCTCCTGAACAGAGTCCCTCAAACACCGGCTGGCTATCATTCATTCATGCTGGAGGTTACTGCAACATCTTTTAGGCGTCACTGCAGGATATGTGGCGAAGCCCAGTTTGGGATTTTTTATCCCTTTTTGTATGAATTGAAAGAGTACGTTCAACAGCCTTAAAGAGTAAGGTTTGTTATTGTCTCCAAAACCCATACAACCAACAATGCGTTGGTCCATCTCTCAATACGAAGTGTTCCCAAAGACAAACACGCACATCCAAAAATACTTTCACAGGTGCTGCATCAAAAATCAAACTTAAGGCCAGAGTCAGACGAAAGATCCACCCACCGTGCTAACGGCTCCCAGCTATTTTCATACAGCGAGGTTTCAATCTGCCAGAGATCTTCATCAGGCACTGTCAGATCACCATCACAAAGCAGAACAGACCATAATACAGGCACAAACATTCATCACCCAGCTGATTGTTATCTGCATGATTGAGTCAAACTGCTCTCAGGGTGGACCAATCAGAGCAGAGCTGGATGACACTCTCTGATCCTCCCATATAAGAGACAGAGCACGCTTCTGTAGAGAGGACACAACAACTTCAAACACAAAGGCCAATGTCGTATAAACACAAATAGAAATCATGAGTCACATAAGTCAGCCAAAAGGGAATTATCATAAAAACTAATATATAGAAAAATACATAGAAAAATAGAAAACAGTAATATATTATGTAGAAGTTTTGGATTGCAGGATTGGATTGTCCAGAGTTTATATTAACACCCGTAACAGGAAAGATAAAAACTGAAAAGGGAGGTTGGCATTAACAGATATGATTCATATTCATTAAGATATCTGTTTAAAAAAAAAAAAAAAATCTGATAATGATATTTAGAAGAAATATTTATTTTGTTTGTGTTGTTGTGGCTAACGTGTTGCTGTGGCTAACGTGTTGCCTATATACACATCCAGCAGACACAACATTGGTATTCATCTGAAGTCGTCTTTCTGGCCCGCCTGGCAAATATAAGAGAGCTGAGGAGAACTGCAAAGTCAATTCCATTTGGATTTGTCACTGCAAGTGACAGCTCTTACATCAACCATTTAACCCATTGTTAATAAGAAAATATGGATTACAGCAGCTTTAATTTCCTTTAAAATCTGGGCACTGTAGTTTTTAAAAGTAGTGCATTTGCTGCAGACTATTTTCAGCTGTGGATAAATACACTTGTGAGTACCATGTCACCATACAATGTGCAATATGAATGGGGGAATGTGTAATAGTTACAGTATGAAAAACAAGAAATGTGCAAGTAATAGTAATGATGGTGTGGCTCACATAAGATAAGATATAAGATACATCAGACTCTATTACACAGGCAACACCTGTAGAATCAGCTCGGTCTTGGTTTTGATTTTTACATATTTGCTGACAATAATAAAAATTCAGGATGTTATCAGGCAAATCTTTTATACTGGAGTTTGGGGATTCTGTGTTTTGCCCAAAGGCATTTTCAGAGAGGCAGATGCTCGCTGTCAGAGGAATGACACCAAAACAGGAAATGCAGTCTGCCTTCCAGCTGAACAGCCTCTCCTCACTGAGTGAAGAGGCTTCCCCCTGGAGTTGATGCTCATGTGTCGACCACCACGAAAAGTTCTTACACAGCAAACCGGCAGGGCTTAAGTTAAATGATAGAAAATTGCTAGAAAACAGAGAATTAAAACAAACAGTCAAGGAGCCGCTGACTGCCAGCTCCGTCCTCTTAGTAACGACTTGATCCCATTGGACAGATCAGGAGCTGTCTGCTGAAATGCTGAAAATCACTACCTTTACACCGCTGGCACCTTCCCCACTTTCTCAACACCCTATAAGCTGCTTCCTCACTGCGCCTGAGCACATTTGAAGCTATTAAATCCTTAACGGCTTCGCCTCTCAGTTCTCTCTGCAGTAAATATCCACATGGGAACCCTGTAACGCTCTGTTACTGCTGACCGGGTGGCAAACATCGGTGAGAGGAGTTTATTAAGGAAGCACGAGCAGCAGAGACACGGACACAGCAACAGGTCGAGGAGAATCCACACATTTATGATCTTTCAATAATCCTTCATCCTGTCTGGTCTTTTTTAAAGAGCTTGTTGTGGCTCACTGTGAGAGGCAACAGAAAGGATGTGGCCGTTGTGTCAAATCATATTACATGTTCAATATTTCCAGACTGCACTCCACCCAGATAGTAACCTCTAATTGAATGCTGATAAGTGGAACAGCACAGTATAAAAGGAAATATTAGAGAGGTGCTTAAAATGTAACATCAAACAGGACTGTGGCTCTGCAGTAATCACTGGCTTTGCTCAATAATAACGGGGAGGACCCACATAATACCACCCCACACTCTGCTGATGTACAGCGAGTGTCGGAGTGTGTTTTTCTATATTTAAAAATCTTGTTATTGATGAAGACAGCAGCTCCTTCCTGATCCTCACTGTGAATCTGTTAAATCC